TATATATATATATATATATAAAATTTATTTTTATTTATATATACTAAATATAAAAAAACTAAAACCCTTGAAAATGATTAACAAAAACAAAGGCCGTCTATTCTGTTCTGTCTCTAAACAAAGTAACAAACCCGTCTGTTCCTAAAATCCTAATTCCAGAGAAACCCTAACGCCTAAACCAGCAGCCACCGCCCACCGGCCAACAGTCCTCGTCGTCGTCGACTTCCACCAGCCACCGGTTTCCCTCTCGCCGTCTCGTCTCTCCCTCTCGCGAGTCGCGACTTTTTATCTTCTTATACAGGTACTCTTACTTATGAATAAGATTTTTTGGTTTTTGCTGGGACTTTAAAGAGGAGTATTTCTCACAAATTTCAAGTACAGTAGAGGTGCAATCTGAGGCAACTCAAGTAGTTGAAGAAGTTGTTGTTGATTTTGATAATTTTAGGGTTTTCTTCTTCGTCTTCATTTCTTTGTTCTTATGTTTTGTACTGTGCAAATTAATCGTATTTGGTTATTAAATTACTAGGATGTTTACAACTTCAGTTTGGTTTAACTTTAGCAGGTAATAACTTCAGTTTGGTTTAACTTTAGGTTTAATCTAAAATTAATAAAATAGTGTTTTACACAATAACGAGAAGCCTATACAATTTTGAAATTTTCCTGTTTGTGAAGTAATTTATGTAATTCATATCAGATTATCGTGGCTGGTGGAAGTCGACATCTAATATAGTAATTTATATCAGATTATAGAGAATAAAGACATCTATATTAGATATGTTGGATTTATATTAGATATGCTGGTGTAATTCATATCAGATTATAGAGAATAAAGACATCTATATTAGATATGTTGGATTTAGGCAAATTTGAAAATTATAAAGTTTAAATTAGTAAGTTTAAAATACAATTACACTATTTCTTTGTTATAAATGTGTTCCACTTATAAATGTGTTCCACTTTAATAACCAAATACGATTAGTTTACAACTTGATATCTTTATTCTCATTCTTTTTCTTTTCTTGTTGCAATGACTCATACATGACTGAAAATATACAAAGTGATAAGGTGATGATGGGTGAAAGTGGGGCTTCTAATTCAAATGCAACAAGTCAAGCTCAAATAACGGAGTCAAATATAACCAAAAAAGGAGAAAAAAGTTTATTGTGTGGGATCATTTTACAGAAATTATTACTTCTGAAGGGAGTACAAAAGCAAAATGTGACTATTGCTTTATTGAGTATGTATTTAATACCAAAGACAGTACGTCGACACTTCTTTCTCATATGCTTAAGTGTCCTAAACGCCCTGCTAGTGTTGATAAAAAAACAATCAAATTTAGGCTTTTAATCTGCTCCGGAGGGTAGTCAGGGTGACGTAGCTGTTGTTACTTGGAAATTTGAACAAGAAGAATGTAGGAAGGCATTATGTCGTATGGTAATAGTTGATGAACTTCCTTTTAGCTTTGTTGAGAAAGAAGGTTTTAGAGACTTTATGAAAGTGGCGCAAACTTATTTTCGGATCCCTTCCCGTAGTACTGTAACTAGGGATTGTTTTGATCTTTTTAATGAAGAAAAGCAAAAGTTGAAGAGGTTTTTTATAGAAACAAAACAAAGAGTATGTATTACCACTGATACCTGGACTTCTATACAAAGAATCAATTACATGTGTATCACTGCCCATTGGATTGATAGTGAATGGAATATGCATAAGAGAATAATTAATTTTTGTCCTATTGTTAGTCATAAAGGCGAAGATATGTCAAACGGTATTGGTAGGTGCTTACGTGAGTGGGGGATAAATAAGATCTTCACTGTCACTGTTGATAATGCAAGCTCAAATGATGTGACAGTAAAAGAATTATCTAAGCAAATAATAAAAATGGGAACTAATTTGATGAATGGTACTCACCTTCACGTGAGATGTATGGCTCACATCATGAATCTTGTGGTCCAGGATGGTTTAAAAGAATCTTCAGTGTCTGTTGAATGTGTTAGGCATGCAGTGAGATATGTTAGGCAGTATCCTGCGAGGTTGAAGAGGTTTCAAGAATGTTTTGATGCTGAACAACTCAATTCTAAGAAAACTTTATGCTTAGATGTTCCAACTAGATGGAATTCCACCTACTTGATGTTGCGCAGGGCTGTTGAATTTGAAAGTGCATTTTCACATTATGCTTCTAGTGAAATTGGCTTGAGACATTATCTTGAGCATTCTTAAATTGATGTTGGAATTCCTACAAGTGAACTTTTGAGTAGTGATTGGGAGAATGTAAAAAGAATTACAAAGTTTCTTGAAATCTTCTATCTTCTTACTTTGAAGATATCTGGATCACGTTATGTTACATCGAATATTCATTTTCTTGAAATTTGCGCAGTTGCAGTCTATTTGAAGCAATTGATAGCAAATGAAGATATAGTTTCAAGTGAAATGGCAAAGAATATGAAAGAAAAGTTTGATAAGTATTGGCGTGATCCAGGGAAAATGAACAAGATAATTTTTATCTCATGTATTTTGGATCCACGTTACAAGATCGAATCAGTTGGCTTTGCACTTGTAAAGATGTGAATCAATTGGCTTTGCACTTGTAAAGATGTTTGGTGTAGATCCGGGGGCAACTATACAAGCAGAAGTGACGAAGTACATGACTTCATTATTCAGTGAGTATGTAAAGTCCAGCTCAAAAGGTGTTGTGCTTGCTTCATCTTCAGATTGTTCTTCATTGGACACTTCGACTCCGGGCTTTCTGGCAGTCAAGCAAGCACCCAAAATATAGGACTTTTAGAATCACTCATGCAAGATATAAAAAAATATAAAAGTGGGAGTGGAGGTGTTGATACTAGAACAGAGTTAGATAAATATTTAGGTGAAGAAACTGAGGAGGACACTAAAGAATTTGATGTTCTTCTTTGGTGGAAATTGAACTCAACTTGCAAATCCTTTTACCCCTTAAGCTTTTAAGACCATAAGTTTTAGAAGTCTTCTTCTTTTTTTTCTTAAACTCCGTGGCGAGTCAAACAACCTCATCTAAAATTAAAACATATGGAGTATATAATATATTAGATGTAACAAAAAATGGGGCCCCCACAAATGTGGGGCCTAAAGCAGTTGCTTTATATGCTTTAGTGTAGGGCCGCCCCTGGAGCTAACCTAACGCCTATATGTCTATGGAATTAGAACTAGCAAGAACGCATTTGTAATTCCTGTAAATCAACCAAGCAAGGCAATTAGGTATATGTCTATCCTAATCGTGAATCCGTTCCCCGATGCCCGGGTTCAAGAACTTGCTCAACTCAATCCTATATGCAATCTAGAGTTCCCCCTTTCGAGTTCAACTCTAGATTCGTACATAGTATTTAATTGGTGATCAAGCAATCAAATAATTAAGTGCATGATTGAATAAATAAACCAATACGATAAACTAAGAAATCAAAATCAATATTCGAATAACAATAGTCATGAAAGAACCACAACCCTAGAACGTGAAGTTTAGCTCCACATAAACATGGTAGCAAAACAAAGAATCATGCAAAGAAACATAAAAATTAATAAGTTTGGTAGAAGAAAAGATGAAACCTAGCCTCCATGGCGGCTCTGTGCTCTCCCTAGGTCAAAAGTTTGTCCAAAGTTAGAAAATAACGTTTTTTTCATGTATTTATACCAAGTAGGGTTGGGCCTAGACGAAATCTCCTTTTCCTAACCGAAATAGGAAAACTCGCAAACTTATTGCTTTTCATGCGTCACACTGTGCGTCGCCCAGTGCGTCGCACTAGTGCTTTTTCATGTCAGACCAAAAAACCCAGTCTCTAAACTTTGAAAATTTCTGACAAAAATTTGCACCAATGTCGCACAGTGCCTCGCACTAGTGCATTTCTTCAGCAATTGCTTCTTCCTTGAATGTTGATGTCCAGAATTGATCCTCGACCCCCGAACACGATCCCGGCTTAATTCCTTGGGCTTTTACTCAGACTTCAAAGCTCCAAATAGCTCGAATTCGTTCCATAACATGAACATAGCTCAGAATCACTCCTACAAGGCATAAAATACGTAATTAGTGCAAAACACTAGCGATTAAAACTCAAACTCAATTAAAGTGTAGCAAATTAGAGTATAATAAGCGACTAAAATACGTAATTATAGCCTACCATCAGTGCACTAACGGGAAAAATGAAGTGAACATGGACATTCGAAATCGATCCTACACATTATCTGTTTTGATAATGATAATTAATAATAAAAAAATATTACGCCATAATCAATAATGAGGAGAACGGTTATACATGAACTTCTTTTAATTGTATTTTTAATTAAAATATTATAATTATCATATTATTAATATATGCATTCTTATTTTATATTTATGTTTCGTATTAATTAATACCCAATACCACTAATTAAATGTTGTTTTAATTATACGACGATTATTTTACTTATTCGTCGACCAAATAATGTGTTATTTTATGTAGAATTTCAATTATGCTAATGCTATTTATCAAACGGACCCCTGACATGTTAGTGGTTGGATAAAGTTTAGAATCTATCAAAGAATGTGGTGCATCGGATGTGGCTATTCTTTTCTTAACCAGAGGCTTCGAGTTCGAGCTCTGAGTATGGATAAGTCCTTGATAGTGAGCGTTTCCCCTCGAATGAACCTTATCCGGCACGAATTCAGATATAATCGGGTTCCAATACGAATATCCGACACCGAATGGGAATCCAAAAAAAAAAAAAAGTTTCAAGACACGACAATTCTTTTTGCAAGGGTGTTATGCTATTGCTACGTAGAGTTGACGAAGTTTGACAAATAGTCGGTGTAAATTGTGCTATAAAATTCTCTTTGTACAAATCCGATATATATTTTTAGACCCTTCTACAACTTTCCTACCGCCATCTACGCCTCCTAATAAACACCTTCTTTCACTTACGCCCCCACCGTTCTCCCAAAAAGATTTCTCCCTCAATTTCCTCTCTTTCTCCCCTCAATCAAAAGCACAGATTCTCTAATGGCTTCATCAAATATTCCATCTCTTGAAGAACTCAGTGCAATAGGTGCTAGAGCTTTGCTTCACCAATTCATTCTCAATCCATCAGAAAATCAACGTGAAGTTACGGTATTAGTTAATTCAAGAAATGGATCAGTAACATTTATTGAAGGTTCTTTTAATCTAGACAATTTTCTATCAAAAGATGATCCATTACCTGCATCAGAAGAATCAATAGATTCTATGCCAGCAGTGAAAATTGTAGAAGAAGGAGTTGAGTGTGCTATTTGTTTGTTAGAATTTGAAGTTGGTGGAGAAGCTAAGGAGATGCCATGTAAACATAAGTATCACGTGGATTGTGTTGACAAGTGGTTAAAGATTAATGGGTCGTGTCCAATTTGTAGGTATAAAATGCCTGTCGATGAAGAGAATAAGGTTATTGAAGTTAATGATGAAAACGTAGATGACAGTAGTAGGGAAAGGAGAAGCGATGCACCTATAGTGTTTCATGTGTTTTTTGGACGTGATCGGAATGTGTATTCAGATTTTAATTCGAACTTGATTGGTCAAAGGGAGTCTGAGGAGACGTCAATTGATCATAGAAATGTGTACTTAAATTCTGATTGGAACTCGAGAGCCCAAAATATGGACATGTCAAACTCAGATGGACAAAGGGAGTCTGAGGAGATGTCGACCGATACTAATGTGTATTCAGATTCAGACTCTAATTCGAACTCGATAGTCCAAAATATAGACATATCAACAGCTGCTAGAGATGGTGATGAATCATCAGGTCAAGATATGGACATGAACAGGGACTAGTAATTGTGTTTTAGGACTCAATTTTCTTGTTCTCTTTTTTGTTTTCCTTTTAGGATTAGATTGGAAGAGTTTGATTACTTTTGTACAGTTGACTTTGGGTTTTTTTAGCTGAATCGTTGTTTTGGGTCAGCTGCAACGCAGCTTTTGTTTCTTATTTCTTTTCGTTTCAAGTACTTCACTAGGTGTTATATCCGCAGCACATGCATTTAATTATTTTTTATTATTTTATTTCCTGTTTTAGAAAATATGTTACTCTAGGATAGCACAATACGTGCATTTTTAGAAGCGACGCTTTGATTTTCAGCATTATACTTGTATTTCAGAAGTTCATAGAACTTGCATTCTTTAATAGGAATATAAATTAACTCATGGTTAGCGAGACTACATAATCAAGTCTTTTTCGGCTTATGAGGCTACGAATTTTATTTTTTCGGTTACAGCTGGTTTGGATTAGATCTGGTTATGAAAGAAGGAATTGAGAAAAAAGTTATCAATAATAATTGGTTTTATTACGGGACATCACGTGATGTTTAGATCAATCTAGCATGCGCCTCTGCATCTAGCATTAGGTAGACCATTCAAAATCTAAAATAATTGCGCCTTTAGCCGACTGAGAGCCTTTGCATCTAGCATTGAGTAGATCATTCAAAATCAAAAGTCATTGTGCCTATAGCCAACTGGGAGTGCTCCCTAGAAATTTCTCGTTTAAAGAAAGTTGTACATTTAATGAAAAGAGCGGACTATACGATTATTGACGGTGAGCAGTCTCACATTCTCAAAGAAAAGCAAATGGTGAAAAGTACTAGGATTTTGCGATGTTTTTGCTATGTGTAGATATAAAATTCAACTTAATTTATTTAAAAATTAATTAAGATATTATATGAAAATATGATTCTTTCTCGTTTGAGAAAAGGAGGATTTTTAATTGGGTTGGTTCGAAGAAAAAGACTGATTTTTTGTTTAACTTACTTGCTTTCATTTTCCGTATATCAATAACTCAATCAAAATACTATTATTATTATCTACTATATTGAGTCGTATTGTTATTTTAAATATATGTTATTAATATTTTGAATATCGTTTAAATTTTATTGTATCGTATTAAATTTATTGTTATATAACAACAAAAAGTACGTAACGATTGATTTGTGTGGTCGTCTCGCTCTTTCTTTTTCATCTTGCTTTTTCTTATAATAAAATTATTTTTTTTATTCATATTGCTTGTGTATGATAGCATGAAATGACGGTAGATGATGCTCTCTCTCTATTTTAATTTATGTGAATCTATTTTCTTTTTATTCCGTATTAAAAACAATTACCCGTTTTTCATATTTGGAAATAATTTACCTTTTTGCAATGATTTATAGTCACACAAAATATATGGTGCCTCATTTTACACTACAAGTTGAAAAGTCTTCTCTTTTATTTTTCCTATAAACTACATGCCCAGTCAAATAGGTTCACATAAATTAAAACGAAGGGAATATAATCTATTCGAATATTGTATTCATCAAAATAATATAGTATAATATAATACTCCATCCGTTTCAATTTAAATGACACGCTTTCCTTATTAGTCCGTCGCAAAAAGAATGACACATTTCTATATTTAGAAGCAATTTAACTTTGAACTTTTTATTTTACTTACTTTACTCTTAATGAGAAGTTTTTATAGCCACACAAATATTATGGCCCCACAAAGTTTTTACCCTTTAAGCTTTTAGGACCACATATTTCAAAATCTTCTTTTTTTCCTAAATTTTGTGCCAAGTTAAACTACCTTATCTAAATTGAGACGGAAGGAGTATGAAACAATATATAACAATTATCTAAACAAGATGTCAGTCGTGAAATCAAATAAAATTTTCATATCCTGTTCTTGTTCTCTGATCGATAAGTGTAGTTAGATGATACAGAATCCTTCGTAAAGCATCACGGTATTCCTAGGAGATTATCATTGGGCTAAAGTACACCGTAGCTAATTATTGTTCAAAATAAAACAATTAAACAAACATTATAATTAGTTAAATCAAAATTGAAAAGCTTATATTACTAATCAGATAAAAAAATAACGAGCAATAGCTTTTTTTTTCTTTCGCTGATAAATTATCCCCCACATAAAACCTTGGAACTTTCTTTTATTAAGAGCCTGTTTGGCCAAGCTTCTAGGAGGCCAAAAGTACTTTTTTTGGTCAAAAAATACTTTTTGAAAAATTTAAGATGTTTGGCCAAAATGAAAAAGTACTTTTAAGCAGCCGCAGAAGCAGTTTTTCTGCTTCTGGGGAGAAGCTAAAAATTCTAGTTTCTTCCAAAAAGCAGAAGCAGAAGCAGAAAGTTAATTTATTCAAGACAAAAATAACCTTGCAATAAATTTATATTTTTCAAATTATCCCTCATAAATTTAATTTTTCTTTTTCTTTTTCTTTTCCTTTTCCTTTTCCTTTTTTTATTTCTGCTATACATTTATTCTCTTTTTTATTTTAATTACATTTTTATTCTCTTTCTCCTATTCCTAAGTGTAGACTTTAAATTTATATTGAATGATATATTTTGACATATTTAAATTACCATATAAATAATAAGTAATACTAAACACTCAATATTATTACTTTGGAATAACTATATTATATTAATGAGAATTTTACTTTATATTCTTACTTTACATTTTATATTTTAATGGAATTCTTTTTTAAAAAATATTTAAATTTATTTTTCTTTTCTAAATAATACTAATTGCAAAGTAAAACGTTACTGTCTTTTTTCGTAATTTGATACTTAAAAGTGCTTTTTAAGAGATTGGCCAAACACAATAAGCTTGCAAAAAGCACTACTCAAACGAATCGGCCAAACACAAACTACTTATTTTGCAAAAGTACTTTTGAATAAAAGCGCTTTTCAAAATAAGTAGTTTTTGGCAGCTTGGCCAAACGAGCTCTAAGTAGATCCCTTTTCCCTTCGATCCTACTAACGAAATTCATTTATCATATGCATTGAACGGCACGATCTCGTAATAAAGTTCTCTGTACGTGTAGTCTTTGCCCTCTTAAGAAAATGTGTATCTGTAATGAACTCAAATCTAGAGTAATAGTAACTGAACCTCTCTACTCTATTAATTAGACTGGAATGTCATTACAACTCAAATATCAAATGCAACAACTTAATAGCAGAATTACAATAGAAATTGCAGGAAGTAAAGCAACTAGGGATACATAGAAGAAGGGGATGGGGAAGTTAGACTCGGAGAATGGAAGACGAGGAGAAGCAGACACTTTTCTCAACAATATGTATAATCCCCAAAATAACTGACAACTACCCCTTTTTAACAAAACCTTCCTTGCGCCTTGCGTGACTACTCAACCTGGATCCCAAATTAACTTGGCCCTATTGCTTGTTCTCGGCCCAATAGCTCTTCTCAGTCCAATAACTACTAGTGTGACATTGGGCCGAGGCTGATTCATAACAATACTCCCGTCCTCAATGAGAACCTTGTCCTCAAGGTTCGAGTCAAGAATGATGTTAGAAGCAAGCTCCCCACCAATTGTAGCCAAACCAAATTGTACATCCAAAGAATCGCATGTGATCCAGTATATTTCTTACGATAACAACCAACATGGAAACAACAAGAAATATGTGCTGCTCATTAGCAAACCCCCCATATGCAAATAAGGTCTTTTCCTAACACAACTGGAGTGTAAACTTTGACACCCATAGATAGTATAGCACATGTAAAAACAATTGCATATTCGAAAGGAGAATATAAGACCCCAATAGAAACCAAGCCATTGATATGTGATATGTCCCCCAAGAGAACAACTTCTTGCTTGTTACATACCTTGCAGATACGTGCGTAATTGTAGAGGCAAGCATAAGCACTTCCCCTATAAACAAGAAAAATTGTTGTACGATTCGCATGAGGCTTTAATAAAGCAGTGTACAGTTGAAAGTTTGCAGGGGTTCCAGTTAACTGATCATTGACTCTCCATGTGGCAAGATCAAATTTTAAAGCTTCGAAATCACGTGCGTGACTTAATTTCCCTGTCATGCCAATGCACTTGTCTCCTGCATAGTATCTTGTACTGAGATGCCTCTCACTGTATGTGATAGTCAATGTTGTTTTAGCGGCTGGCATCACCAACAGTGATGTAAAATTCGTTGAAGGGATAAGCTCAAGACCCCTCCATTGCCTAGCTTTCTTAAGCTAAAAAATGTCAGCACAATCTGGATTCATGTCTATGTGTAAAATTTGATCATGATCGTAAGCTCTGTGTAGAAGTTGATCATGATTGTAAGCTGAAAGCAAACAAGGTATCACCTCAAGGAATTGAGCAAGTCCAAGTCCAAGTTGAGGGCAGAGTAATTGAGATTTTCCAGCAAGCAATTGGTAACAACAACCATCTAGAACTTTGTGAATATCAATCATGATCATGTCACAAAGAATAGAGAACGTAGAATTAATACCTAATGAAGGCTTCTTTGTGATTGCAACAAAAAACTCTAAAGGCTCGTCTTTGATGGTAATAGTTTTCCCAATCCATAGCACCCATGTTAAAGTTAAAGCATGGTGTAACACACTTTGCTCAAGATCCCTTCCACTCAAAAAAGACCTCAGCTGGTCAATTATGTCTTGCTCCTCAATTTGAGTAGTAGCATCATTAAAAGAACACATATATGAATTTGATATAGACTCTCCCAGTAGCTTGTACATGGCACAAAGTATGGAATTATCATTGTGTTCAACACTCATATCAACTCTACCAGAAGCAACCTTAAATACCTGCCCAGTGTCAAGCCACTTGTCCACAATACTACAAGTTGGTAAGCCAGAATCCCTTGCATCAGTACTAGAGCAAATGCAGTTACCATACTTGTGTACCATTATGAAGGCTGCTAACATGGGCAATCTAACATAATCAAGATAAGGACCGGGATATAGGATAACATATGACGAAGCAGACCTAGCTTTATAAACTAGACCAAACAGAGGAAACAAGAGTCCAACT